CTCCATTGTACAACCATATGAGACCCAGAGGCAGAGTCGATCGCAGCTTCTTCTTTTTTTTCTCCCTCCTCTGCTCTGCGCTCCCTCTGCATGCTGTTACCAGAGCAGGGAGCAGCAGCGGTCAAAATACCTCAGAAACTCGAACAAATAGGCTTTAACAAGGCTTTAATAAGCTAAACAATAGAGGTACATGAGAAAACATGTTCATAACGAACGAAAATAAATAAATAATTAAATACTGTCCATACCGGTCTCAAACCCTGGTCTCCCACTCTCTGGTCCAACACTTTACCCATTGCCCTATTGGAGGCTCGTTATGAAATAAGCTGCGCATTTCACAACAACAACGCGGTGACGGCTTTTTATACTGAGGAGGTGGAGTCTCACCCGGGTGTTGCTAGATAAGAGGCTGAACGCAGGTTCTGGTGGGTTGTCGTACGGCTTGTGACATCATAAAATGAAATAAGTATAAAACTTGTCGTTAATATACATTAAAAATACATTTACTTACAGTAAATATGCCCCTGGGTGCATTTTATTTTTTTGGTCCTAGGACTGTTTTTTTAAGAAGTACATACCCAAAGTTGAGTAAAAAAACCTTTAAAAAGTGAATTTTGCACAATAGGTCCCCTTTAAAGCATAACTGCCTAAGTCATTTGGTGTCCAAATTATGCTATAAGGCTATCTTTATGCAAGGAGTCTGTCAACTGGTGGCTCCTGGGACAAATCGGGTCAATAGGTTTATTCAAACAGGTCCACAAAATTAAATTTGTATTAAACTAGGCACAATTTGATACTACTGTATTTGTGTGTATAATGCATTTCAAGTATAATGTGATTCCACATTCTCTGAGGTTAAACATTGTAAAGAAAATCTAATCCTTGTGTTTAATGCAACGCCTGATTTCATTCAGACTTCAGACTTTTTCAGGCTTTGCGATGTACAATGTGGTGGGAAAACAGATTATTTTGGGGGGGGGGGGGACACACACTTGTGGGTGTGTTTGTGCCTTCAGAGTAGCAGTGCAAGTTTCTGTTAAAAATAAACAATGAAACTAAAATAAATAAATAAAATGATAAAAATAAATAAAAAATTTAAAATTAAGTTAAAAAAGAGTTTTTACTCTGACAACTTGTGTGTGAAAAAAACAACTACCGGTACTGATGTTGTTTTATGCTTTGTAAACATATTCTATATCTACAGTGAGAGGGTGGAGGGAGAAATGATGATTTATCCCCACAACACAATATTTCAGTTATATATGAGAAAATAATAAGATTTATTGTGGTAGTAAATAAGCAGAACATCTGTCAAATATTACTCCTGTGTATGACTCTTCTACTTTACAGATGACGTTTGGCGTAAACTTTGCATTAAACACACAAATATGGTAGTTTTGGCTCACATCTGACAGAATCGACAGCTCTAACTTTCATCATGCATTCAGGTTTGTTAAACGTGGTTAGCTCAGTAAAATGCTAAAAGTATTAAAAAGGTGCTAAAGTTTAGCGTCCTACAAACATTTAGCAAATTTATTCCTGCAAATCTAGTCTAAATTCTAAATTTTACGACCTGGTTTGGAACATTTTTTGAACCAAACTGACTCCAACTTTAGCATGAAATCTGTGTTTGCATTTAACAAGAGTGATTAATAACGAAACAACAGTTTTTAAATATTCGTGTAATTTGAGGTTTTAATATCAAAATAGAAATGAAATCTCTGTTATAGCAAATAGATGTATTTAGGTTACAAATTCCAGATAAGCTGTTTTTTCTTATTGATCCTGAGTGCATTTGTGTTTATTTACGGTGGTCCAGGATTCCAGCTGGATAATGGTCGGTTCTTTCCAGAGTTCTGAAGTGGACTGAACGGCTGGGCTGGCTGTCACCATGAAGCCCCACAGACTGCACCTACAAGTAAAAAATAAAATAAAATAATAATAGGTTAGACAATGCTGCAGCTGCACATTCAGTGACACCCAGAGAGGTTGGCATTATGTGAGACAGTGGCTCAGGAGGCTGAAGTTAATCAGACAAGAGGTGTTTTGGTTTTGGTCCAGAGTCCTAGAGGACACAGGTGCTCCATCAGTCCAACAAAGAAGACTCTAATTATGAGCTGGAGATGGGTTTCAGCCAAATAAGCCAACAACAGAAACCTCATTAGAATAAATCAACAAGTTAGATTGTTTATTTGTCATTTCTAAAGCTTCAAGGTGAGTTTTGTGAAAATAATCAGTTGAACACATGATTATATTTATGTAAAATAAATCTAGAAAAAGAGAAACAAGTCTTTGGGTTGTAGTTAAAGCAGACTGCACAGGTAAATGTACCTGCTTTTACCCTCTCACCTCCTTTCAGAACACAGCAGATTGATTTTAAGTCTTTGTGAAGCTTCAGCGCTTTGCTCAATGACACTTCAAACACATTCAACCTGCAGCTGAAGGACAATCTGTGTCGCCCTGCTGAGCTGGGATGGATTCAGAGAAGTACAACCAGAATGGAGTCACATTGTCTGAGGTGAACCTTTAGCAGTAAAAACAAATAAATCCAGTTAATTTTCACACTCAGAGGTAATTACAGTTGGTAAGAGATGAAAGAAACTATCAGCTCATTAAAAATATTTTATTCACAGATTTTAAACCTTTAAATCGTCTCCTCCATGAATGTGGAGCAAAAACAACTCATGTTGTTAATGGCTAGAGAAAAATAAGCTTCAGTCCTCCAATAGTTTTATTAAACTCAAATTATTAACGAAAAACAGACATTTTGTAAGTATTTTTGATGAATGGAGATATTCGGGATTTTCACTGTAGTTTACTAATTCTATTTACAAACACACAAAAAAATATGCAAAAAGACGGACTCAATTTAAACTTTAGTTTCAAAAAAGTTTAATAAAGCAAGAATTATACATTTTTGCTTAACTTAGAGCATTAAAAACAAGAAACAATGTTCATTTTTGGATTGGAAGTTTTTAAAGGGGCAATATTATGTGTTTCTCAGGCATATATTTAAATACTATACCATAATAAAGTATCTATGTCACCTTCAGT